TTTTTTTAACAGATGCCCCAGCATAAGTAGATCTCTCAATATTTTATTAATATCTCTCATAATATCCATCACTTTGTCCTGAATTGTTACCTAAAAACTCTCGTTCAATTTTTCACAGATGTTTATAAAACGTATCAGTAGAAAAGCAAACAGTGAAATATTGCGATCTGAAGACTGTAAGACACTCTCGTAACATATTTCGAACTTTTATCTTGTTGTTTTTTATCTTCTTAGCAGTTGAGCATAAAAGATACAAATAATCCAAATGTCCCGTTGCCAAGTTATTGAAAAGCTCTTTTTTACTATTAAATCGAATTTCATTGATACGTTGTAATTGGTGTGTAATCGGGTTTTTTCTTGTGTAGTCATTTCGAAAATTTTTGGGAATAAATATAGCGTTGCTTTGCAGAATTGCTTATTGTGCTTATGCTCTATATCATCTCTTTGCATTCAAATATTGCTGTTGTTTTGAAAACAAATGATTTGCTTGATAAATATACAGTGATATGACAATACGAATGTCAATGATTTCACATAGTCCTTAAAGAACTATTGGCATGCTTCAATCGCTATTCTTTTTTAAATAGTCTTAACTATTGATGATGAGAAAGAGTACACTTTATGACATTGCAAAACTGAGAGGAGCGTGGTTTGGTGCAAGTTTAGTGACATAGAAAAGAGAGCTAGCTGTTGAAAGAAAAATGCAGTCACGATATCTGTAATTTTGGAGCTAGACAATATTCAGCGCAAAATATGTGGTTGTTAGTTTTTATGCTGAAATATTTTATATTCATTTGTCGAGAATTGAAGAAATGTTTCAGTTTAAAAATTCAAGATGAAGTAGTGAACATTGAAGGAAAATTTAATAAAATATACTGAAATTCATATATTCTGCGATGACCGTTATATATTCCTAATTCAATTTTGATTTAATATAAAATGAACTTCACTAGAATTACAATTCCTTCTTTGTGTTGCACAATATCTCTTGACTAAGCTAGAGTTGGATTAGTTGAAATGAACAAAAAAGAAACAATACAATCGGTGCTTAATTTATCATGGTTCCACTATAGTACATTCTAGGGAATATATCTATTCATTTAGGTGAACATGATTAGATGAATTCTGCCAATCATAAAGTTTTTCTTTTCTTATAAATCGACCATTTATATTTCAAAAATCAGACAAGAGTAATGAATGTATAAAAAACATACAAAACAAAAAAAAGTAGATATACTTATATTGCAATACATATAAAAACCATCTCAGCAGATCAAGTTCTTCCAGTCGATCGATACATTTGGACGAGATTGAAAAATATGATTAAATTCTTATTATCGGATGATCGATTTTTCAATAGGTCAGTAATCTAGCATGAAGAGAAGAAAAAAATCATTAGATAAAAAAATGAATTTCCTTTTATCAAACAAACCTCTTCAACGTGTAAACATAAATATTCAATAAGATCATGAATAATCGCATGGTCTAAATCGATTCTTTTATTAATACCCTGAGATAAAAAAAAGGACTATAAATAAATAATTCAAATAGCTTCTCTTATCTTACTGTATTAGTTGATGAATATTCAGATTTTAAATTTTTGTTATTTAAACGTCGTTCTAAATTTGAATAATGTAAACGAACACGTTGAATTTCATCAGCAAATAATAGTGTACAATTTTGAATATTCTAAATAAATTCAAAATTTTAAAAACGAAAACAAATTCTTATATTTATTTCAACTTACCATATTCAAATTTGTATTATGATTAGTTGTTACTTCTATACATGATAAACAATTTTCTTCATTTGATTGATAAGAACAAGCTATTTGAAAAATAGTCGCTAGAATATCCAATGAACTTTTTAAACATTTATCAATTGTTATATCAAATAAGCAATTTAAATTTTGTAATATAAATGGAATAAAATGTCCATAAAATATATGTAAAAATTGTGAATATTGTTCAATTAATTCACTTAAATATGTATCGCTATGAAGAAAATTGGTAAATAATGTTTCAATTAGATTTATTAATATTGAATGTATTGTTGATTTGGTTTCGAATAATCGATAAGTCTTACTATGATTATTATCCATTAATAAATGATCACATTCACCTATTTCTTCATACGTATGATTTAATAAATGGAAATAACGTGTCCGATCATTTTCACTTAATGATAATCCAAAAGAGTTAGATGATAATGGTAAAGTTGTTATATAACTAAAAGTATTTTTAAGATCAGTTGAGCAATATTGACAATCAAAATTATTACGATGCATTGTTCTTTCTAAAATAGAACAAGTAAAAAGAAGATAATATAAATATACTTTCATAATCATATTTAAGATATAGAATAATGTTTAATTTGTTTCGTACGTTTGACACTCATTCAGAGCAAAAAAAGTAAACTTTAAGGATCTTGAAATCTTAAGATTCATTCGTTTGTACTCTTATATCGCATTTATAGTGAACGGAGAATATCATAAAAGACAAATATGCAATTTAAAGACTATCAAAAGTACATGCAATGACAAGCATTAACTTAATCAAAAGACTAACCTCGTTTCAGGATGATTCAGTTATTAGAACACTGATATAAAAAAACATGAAACTTTTTCTCGAATTGTTAAAGCTTTATTAACTATTATTGTAGTTTATTCATCAGAATGATGTTATTCTAAGATATTAGGAAAATTTTATACGACTTCCCAACTTTATGGAAATATTGGCAAGTGCTGCAAGTACTATGGTATATCCTAACAATATAAGCACACAGAACAAACTTTTTTTTCTTAGACTCTAATGACTGCATTCCGTTTCAGATTAAGCAGAAAAAACATTGGCAAATTTGAAAAAGTTTTTTGAAATATACATATGGTATTAAAACTAAAGAAAATGTCCATTACTATCCCCTAATTTGAATATCTCATCTTGAATGAATCTATTTCAACAGGCAGAAGTATACCTTCAATAATATACAGTAGTGAACAAAAGTCTCCATGCCAGCTAATCTTAGCCACTATATGTGGTGAAGATCTGATAATTTGTGTACACGTACTTCATCAAGAATGTAGGTCATTCATATTCCGGCGCCTCTATTACTTAATTACAAATTGAGTTATGATAGACAGTATCTATCTCTTGTATGCTGTTTCGTATTAAAAAGATAACTAATTCTTGAGATTTTTACATATAGCTGAACATCCGTCTACAATGTTTCTACATCCAAAAGATAAGATCATATACTCGAATATTGATACTTCTGGATCTTTGGAATTGACAAGATTATCATCTACCTTCTGTTTATTTTTAGTGTAAGATTCGCTTCTGAGACTTGTAGGTAATATTGTTTAACTGTAGAGGAAGCTTTTCAAAAAGTTTGAACTCGTTCTATTGAACTATCATTGAGTTATTGACTTTCGAAAAACAATAGAATGGTTTCTCTGCACAGCAATCATCGCAGTAAAATGAGCTTAGTTTTTGAAAGGATAGATGAACTGCTTTGAAATTAGTAATGTCGATAGCTGAAGCATAGAGTTATGAGGCTGACAACAGAAAATAGATACCATCCATCATAATTCCTTGTGTCACTGAGTAATGACTGCAACGTAATGTTAACGATCTACATTCTTAATGAAGTGTGTCTACACAAATTTTCAAACCTCCTGGAGATACAACAGCCAAGATTGGTTGCGGCCGAAACTTTTGTCTACTATTGTAAATATGCTTTAACTAAAACTTGAAATAACATACTTGAATTAGGACTACTATTTGATTGATTAACATAATTCATTTGTTTATTTCGATAAGGTAAAATAATTTTAAATTCATAACCATCATTAAGAACTCCATAATGTTGTAGTGTATTCAATTTTTTACAATGATTTATTTGTTCATTTGTATTATCAATATCATTTAATAATAAACTAATTGAATCTCTATATGAATCATTTAATGTTGTTGTTGTTGTTGTTGAATATTTATTTGTACGATTAAAAAAAAATTGTGTTAACATCGATTTTTTTGCTAATGGTACATTAGATGATGACGTTGTTGATGATGAACATGATGATATTGAAAATGAATTATTATTTGATTTAATATTTGTTAATAAATATAATTGACATTCATTTATTGATATGGAATCAATTTTTTTATATAAATCTAATTGATGAAGAATTTTCTGTTTAACTTGTGTTATGGTATCACATGTTAAACACGTCACATGTAATAATAATAAATCATCAGAATTATTAGAGTCAATATGAACAATTATTTGAATAGAATTAAATATAGTTGATTGATCATTTAATATTGTTGTATTATTTAATGAATAATATGAACATGTTTGTTCGATAGCATCAATAGGGCCCGAATGAATTTTATCTTTTAATTGATAATAAAGTTGAAAAAATAATGAACTTATTTGATTTGTTAACAACCCATCATAAGCTAATAGGATACACATATTAAAATAAATAGAATTATTATTACATTGTAATAATTTTTTAAAATGATATCTTTGTGTTAATACAAGATTATTAAGAAGTCTTTTATTATTATTTGATTTTAATAAAATTGTGCAAATATATTCGATAAATTGATCATTATTTTCAAATAATAATTGAAATTGATCAAGAATTTCATGTTTTAAATTTTCTTTAGGTGTGTCATATGAAGGTATGATTAATGATGGATCATAAGAATAATAATAGTAACATAATTGTAAATAATTTATATAAGAACGTATTGGAATGGTTATTAATGGTGACGAATCGATCATATTTGATTCGATTGGTTGAAGCTTTTGATAATTTCGATTTAAGAGATTATCGCTATATGGTTCCTTTTCATTTTCATCTGAACTTACACCAGTATCATATAAATAACGTCGACGAGATTTTCTTTGAGTACAACGTATTTTAATACAAACAACAATAAGAACAATGAGAACAACTAATAATATTGTTAATAAACACCCACTTATAATGCCTTAAAGAGAAAGAGATTTTAAAAAATTAATTATTGGAAAATTAGACTTGTATAAGAAATTGAAATCATATGATTATGCATTCGATACTAAAACTATGTAGATTGCTTTTCTAGACAAATCTAAACTTTTCTTTGAAGATATTTGAATATTCTTTAATATTACTATTAGTTTATTCTAGAAATGCATAAATTTTTTGATGCTAAAAAAAAGAGACATATAGATTCACTATAGACAATATATTTTTCGTTCGCAGTATCCAGTGTCAAACACATAATTTCAAAAGTCATTCATATAGAGATTCTTACAACTAAAATTAAGTTAATATCGATCTGATTTAATTCAGTACTGCAATTGTCTAAACCATAAACATGCTTCTACCATTAGACTAATACTTTATATATTTCGGTACAGGACATTTTGTTTACTAAAACATGTTTTTACTTCAAGAGTAGAGACGTTTCTTTCATATATTTTTCCTGATGCAAGAAGAATTAATGTGTTGAACAGCCTGTCTCAAGTAATGATATAAATTATCCTTTGATTTATGTATTCTATGCTTGATATATGTTTTTTGTAGTCGCAACTACATTAAAATCATAACTAACCTATGACACGAAACTTTTAGCATAGAATTGTCACTCATTTTTCGACTACCTAAAAACGATTGGTTAGAGTCAGAATTAGTTAGTTAAGCATGAGACTTTTTTGCTCTTTTAGAATGTGTTTAGAATTTTTTTGAGCTAAGATTGAATGACTATCATTAGATTTTTTCCAACGGTCAAATATAGTGGTCGCATACAATACTCTTTTGGTCGATTTCGTATTTCGATTGAAATCTGTTAAATTCAAAATACAAATCAAATTTTAATGGCTATTTTCTAGAACAAAATTTTACTCTAGAAAACATGATATTTATTGTTTTTATTATTACTTACATGACAGATTTTTAAAAGCAATTCTGAATCATCAATTTTTGCAGAAATCCTGATATCCATAGAAAATAATGCATTAATAAAAACGCATCCATAAGATTCGATTTATAATAGTATCTCATTTTATATAAAATTCAATGCTCTTTAATCATGCTAAAATAAACCTGTGTCAAAACACAAACTAAGGACTGTGTCACAACCACTATTTAAGTTTGTAAAGACACAATATTAGACATGTTGTTTTTTTACAGAGCTTACTAACAGTTGTTCAATCTTATTCCAGAAAGAAAATCTGAACTTATGTTATGACGTAACGAGAAATTTTGATACTAGCCCTAATCAGTTGTCTATTATTGGTCAAAAATATGTTTTAAGCCTTTCAGATCATAAACTATATTCAGATGCTAGCTTTATTTAAGAAAATCTAATATCTTGCTGTAGAAGTTTCTTCTTACCAAGAATAATAATCTTTTTTGGATACATCATATATCCAACATGAGAATGTATATTATCAATAGTAACAATAATCCATGGATGTTCTGAATCATAACAGAGACGATTTGTTTTTGAATATTTTTTCGGACGATAAAATGGTGGTTGACATATAATTTTATCGGATTGTAAATGAATAATAGGACATAAATCACATCCAATATGAATACTAATATCATTTTTTGTGTGTCCAATAGCTGTTATATTTATACCTTGAATAATTAATTCATTTGTATATGTTTGTAACATTGGTTCAATTTCATAAATCAGTGGATCATTTATATAAATTAATGATGATGTTTTATTGAAATGATCTAAATGAATAATAATTTCAATTTCATGTTGATAATCGTGTTCGCTATTTAAATGTAATTCTTGTATTGACGGTGTTAAAAATATTAAATGTGTTCGATTCTGAAATAATGGTGAAACAAATATAATACGTTTAAATTCTAAACGTATATTTTGTATTGTATGAAAATTATCCCCATGAATTATTAATTGATGACCGCCGCTCATAAAACTTTGAAATTGATGATATTTATCAAACGAATATAAAATTGGATTAGAAATAATCGTAAAAAATTTTTCTGTATTGATTTTTGTTTTTCGATCAAAAACAAATTTTATTGGTTGTTGTTCATTTAACATTAAAGGAGAAAATGAAGTTGTTTCACATTGAATTTTTATACGAGATATTGATAATAATTGACATGGACGATTACCAATTGTTATTGATATATGACTATTGCCTAATGTTAAATTTTCACCATGAATTGTTAAAAGTGTACCACCACTTTCGATACCAATAAGTGGTTCAATCAAATTAATTGTTGGACTTATATATGATATTATTTGACGAGAAGAAATTTGTGGACCGTTTAAATCGAATTTTAAATGAACAAAGCCAGTGCGTGGTTTTGTTCCAGCATCACCGGATTGGCAAACAATTCTAAACAGAAGAAATCATTCGTATACAAATAATACCTTGATATTTTCGTTCGTAAGAACGAAAATATAATGATCAAAGTAAATAACCAAGAACAATGAGTATATGATAAACCGATGGTAAAATAACTATCTTTTTTTGTATACTATGAGTTGCTCTTTGCAGAAAAAATTTTTGAGTAGAGCAGAAAAACTACACTGATCAAAATCGTAGATTTATCATAAAAACATTTGCGACGATATAAATATTGTTTTTTCATAATCCGTGAAAGGTTTCACGTCTTTATTCATGACAGTTGTAATACTTTCAAACAGCTTTTGTCAATGTTTCTCTTATGGATATGATCTATGAACATTCCTTTATCAATGGTAAAAAGAAACATTCCCTTTGGTCAAAATATGGTAGAGATATTCAAATTTTTCTGCTCTAAAGGAACTTTTGAGTCGCCCTGTAGGGGAGCTCACCGATGAACTCTATCATCTCGAATGTGCTAAACATACACTTCCAAGTCTTACCGTTATGACCGATAAAATTAATGAATGTGTCAGAAAAACTTCAATTATGACCATTTTTTTAATTTTTGTGACGTCTTATACTAAGACAAGCTAGCGATACTAATACAGTGGTCATCACCATAGCTCCTTCTACCATAAAATTTTACTTTTCTATAGGTATGACTTGTCATTATTCTACTGGCAAAGTATTTATATCAATGCTAACTTACTTATTATTTGAACTCTCTTCTTCAATTAAATAACAAGGCACATCAGCTAAATAAATCGATAAATTAAATAAATCAAAATGATTTCCTTTAATTGTCACTAATGTGCCCCCATTCATTGGTAATAATAAAGGTTCAATTGTTTCTATAATAGGTGATAAACATTCTTGACTATTGGGACATATTAATTTATTTGTTATTGTTTGATTTTTAAACATACACATATTATTACACCAAATACAATCGAAAGAAGGATCAAGTTGTAAACATGATGTACAATTTAATGCCATACGTTCACAATGATATAAAGAAATATGTGTACGTGGAATAATAAATGATGTTTTATTTGTAAATTGTATTGATAAATCAAGATGTATTGGTCGATGAAATAATATTTGATGAAAATTTTCTGAATTTGATAATTCAAATGAACATTCTAGTAAACATAAATGATTTTCATTTGTTGATTTAATAAATGTCGAATTTATTGAAGTAAATAAAAAACGTTTAAAATAATCATTTAATTGACATGAATTGATATTTATGTTTTCATTACATTGTTCATTATGTATTATTAATGTTTTATTATTATTATAAGCAAGACGATTTATTGATTGTTGTAAATAAAAAAGTGGACATTGATGAGAACTTTTTATTAGACGTTTATGATTAATTAATGAAGATCGTTTATGTTCATGTGATATACAATTTACCGTTTGAAAGTTCCATACACATTGATTATAGTATGTAGTACAAGATGAACAGGAGAGAAAATTTGAACAATTTATAAATATTAAATTATAATGTCCGAATGTTAAATTTGTTTTTAAATGATATACTGATAAAGCGACATTATAAACAGCTAAAGAAGACGTTTTTTTTAAACAAATATTCGAAGAACCAAAAAATGACTATTCATTTCTTACCTTGATTTATATTATTTAATATAGGTGGTAAACATTTTAATGTTTGATCATTAAGAAGAATAGTATTAGTGTAAAATAAAAATTCTTTTTCATTTGTTAAACGAAATTGGCATTGATACTCATCAATATTATGTTGTAATGGAATATTAAAAATAATCTCTAACTAAAATATCGGAAAGAGAATATTTATAAAAAAATTGAACTTTAACTAAAAGATTATACTTGGATATTTGATGAATGTAATGACATTGTTTCTGGAATAACTCGTTCGATACTTGTACACATATTTATTTCATGAACTTTTTTATGTCTACGATTTTCATTTATACATTCAAACGTAGGCGTACATCTAAGAAATAAATATTTGATCGAATAAATTTTATTTCTTTTTTTTTTAATCAAACACATTTTACCTTTGTTCTTTAGAACACCAATGACAAAGATCAACATTTGAACATTCATCACATGTTTTATACTGTTCACATGTACTTAAATTTTGTTTAATTATCTAAATGAAGACGAATAAGTATATAAAAATAGATCATATCTTTAACTAACGAGAGAACTTAGCTAAATAAAATTCTTATATTTATGTATCTCAAAGTAAGAAATTCTAGAAAGCTTCCGATTTTCACAATGAACTGTTGTCATTGTGAACTTTATAAAGGACGACGTGGAAAGTGATCTGAAAGAGATTATGATGTTTGACTCAAAAACTAAAAAAAATTATTATAACTCAAGAAGAAAGAAACAAGAGTACGAATATTGTTGGACATTTTTTTAAGGTAATTAGAAAGTATCTATTGAGACAACACTTCTTCAAAATTGATTTATCACATGGCAAAGTCCTCTCGTAAGAAAAATACAAAATAATTCGAGTCTAAAACTAAAATATGACCTTGTACATTACTGAAAGCAAAGTAAAAGATAATATCTACTGCTTGAGAAGATTGATATCTCAAGTGAAAACTTTGAAGTTCATTATGGTAAAAAATAAGTTTCGATAGTGTTTTCGAATGATATAGTATCAAATGTCATGTCAAAATAATTCAAATATCTAATTTCTTGCTGACTCCTCTTAGTCTGATATAGATCCATTTATAATCGAAATGTGAATAGTTTAAGACTATTGTCTCAATATACCTTCTAGATTTAGCTTTCTGATAACATGAGATTGACCAAAATATACTGTTAAAAAAGTTAATAAGAATAAGGATTTTGTTAACTCTTCACGATGTTGCATGTCATCGTTTCTCTAAGCATTTGGTTTCGAAGCCTATCAAGGTTTCTTTTATGTCTTCGCCTCAAAAGTGGAACCATAGAAATGTTAATATCGCATTATTATGTATCTATCACAATTGCACATTGTTGAATTTTCGTTTAGCGAAGCCTCGTATTCAACATTAGAATGAAATTTTGAATAAAATATTAATTCAAATTTTTCTTTTGCTTTATAAAGTGTATATTTAAATCAATGAATTTTTGTCTAAATATATAGTATTAGCTTTATTCAAGGACAAAAAGAAATGCATTCTAAGTCATCGTTACCTGATTATTAGTCAACACGAGAAGATTAGCATTTCTTAACAATGGTTTATTATTAATTAATTTTAAATCAATTATCATTGAAGATGAAAAATGTTGTTTACTCATTTCATTAATATTCGATATTTGAAACTAAATAAATAGTAAAGAAAAAGAGTTTAAACAGAAATTTCTTTTTATTCATAAAAACACCTTACTTTATGTAAAGTTCCATTATCATCTCCTAATAAAATCATCACATCATTATCAATTGAAACAATTTCAATAGCTGTAAAATTGACATTTTCATTTAATTCAATAATCGGTTCAATTTGTTCTAATGATCGATGACCACCAATAGGATATTGAAAAAATCTATCATCACTATCTGGACAATAATCATGATTGATTTCATTTAAATTCTATTTCATATAAAATTAATATTTCATTTTTTTTTTGTTTTTTTACAAATTGAATTTTAACATTCAACTTACTTTATTCGATACACAATGTGTATCCGGACTAATAAAACCTAAGCCACGATAACCTTTTCCATCGACAAGACAACGCTTTACTGTTTGAAAAAAAGCTTCACGTATTGAATCAATTGAATATGCACATACAGCATGTGATGTATCAGATGAATTAGCTAATGTTGTATTACGAAATATGCCATATAATATATTATTTTCTTTTGAAAATTTTGCTGTAACTAAATAATGATAATTTTTTCCACATGTTATTGGAATTTCAACATAAGTCTTAATAATTGATTGTTTTAATGTTTGACAAAAACGTAAAATTTTTGTTTGTAATTTATATTTTCGTGTATGATAAATATCTGATTGTTGAATAGTTAAAAAATATGATATATTTTTATGTTCAAATCCATATAAATAATAAAGAAAAAAATCTTTTATTAAACGTATGTTTAATAAACGTAATGTATATGTGGATTTTTGTAATGCAGATTGACCAGAATTTAAATTAATGATTGATAAAAAGTCTTTACCTATTGATCGACCACTTATTGTTGGAATTTCGTAAAATGGATCACACAATATGTCATATGTATTCGATAAATATAATACATGATTACTTTCACTTATAAAACCAATGGATGGAAAGTATGGTGATGATGAAACAATACGTTGTGATGAATTTTTTAATAAATTAAGATTAATTAATGAACGTAGTTGACATGAACCACCACGATTTGATGTTGAACATATTAATATGGAATCATTGATTAACAAAAGTAATTGATTAAATGTACTATTTAATGATGGAAATAAATAGGATAATGTTGGAAATGAATAAATATTTGTTAATAATGATGTTTTATTTGTTATTGAACACTGATTATCATTTTCTAATGATGATATATTTATATCTGATATAATTGATAAATTACTAGCATTTAATGAATATATATGATTAACAGATGCTAAAATAATTGTATTTGTAAAATCGTCATAAATAAAACGTTGTAATGGATTTGAAAAATGTATATTTATTGTATTGGTTAATTTTATTAAATAAAATAAGATAATTAGAAATATTTCAATATTCATTTTATGACATACATAAGAGATAATCTAGAACAAGGAAAAAATAAGTAAATTCAATGTAATGATTTCGTTGTCTTCGATTAAGATTAAATTACTATGTTAAAAAACGACTGGGTATATACATACGCGTGTGAACAGATAGAAATCATCCAATTTACAGCTTGCTCGCTTCTTCTACTACGATGAACTTAACATTATTAGTCGTTATGAGAAAAAGAAGAAGAACGAGAAAAAAAGATTTCAAAAATAATTCAAGCATGCATAGTACATGCTCATCTCATGTTCATATATATATATATGATCGATCAGGCAAAAGAAAGAGAGTGAAAGGATTGATGCACGTTTTTTTTTTTTTTTTTATAGATGACGCAATGTATATGAAACAGATTGGAAAGAATAATCTTGTCTTATTATAATTAAACAAATGTGTGAAATGGATAGCGAAAAGAAAGAAATGACGATAGAAATTTTTCTTTTTTCATAGAAGATCAAACATAGCCATCAGACGAAGGTTATCGCATTTGTTCATTTATTCTTTTTCATGGTCAAAATAATAAGCGGCATATGCATATGTATGCTGATTAGAACAAACAACAAAATATAAATGGATCATTCGAGAAGAAGAAAAAAAACTTCAAATAATACTTGTCGTCTTCGTCTTATTGTTGCTGTTTTGAGTATGAGTAAGATAAAACGGAATGAATTCTTTAGAAATATTAAAAAAAAAAACAAAGGTCAAGTTTAATTAGCTGAACGGTACAATCCGATGATGAACAAAATAGATAAAGTTCTTCGGCTTTTTTTTAGACGGAGGCCAATACCAATTATCGAATAGGTGTCTCGCCGCCTCATGTCATATGTGTCATCAGCGGTTAGTATCATCCCAAACGTTTAGATACGTATATATACATATATATATATATATACATGCATATATATACGATTTCACTCACTACCGCCCATGATCATCGTTGTCTACATATGAACAGTTCGTCTTCTCTTTTTTTTTGTTTTTTGTTATTTGAAAGACTTTTTGGTTATTTCAAAATGATAATTCTCAAATAATGCCTAGAGATATATTCGGAATCAGAAGAAAAAAGTGTGAAAGATTCAGGTGTGAGAATATACGTGTATTGAACAATGCATTTATTCGTGTGGAATCAAGATGCTTAGAATACGATAACAATGAAAATAATATGGAACAATATGGAGTAAACGCTCGAGCGCGTGTGCACGATCGAAAGAAGAAAAACAAAATCCGGAAAACAGACTTGAACCGGAACATGTCTCAATTACTCGGCGATGCACGAACGAGGTAGCTATAGTCATAGTAATAGAAGTGGTTAGACACAATACCTGGAAATAGACAGACGACAAGAGGAAATTCGACAATCTCCTCAGAGAGTGAAACGACGGTCAGACAAAAGGCTAAGAGAATTGGATGTTCATCTCAATAGTCGGATATAAAATGTGAAGAGAAACATAAAGAGAGAGAGAGAGAAGGAGAGAAAAAGTCTAATCGATTTCCGTTTCACATTGTTGTTCTTACCGATGGACATTATATTTATTGGACCTTCATGCGTCTACACTATTATGATAGTGGCATTCAGAAGCTAAAGTAAAAAAGTCACATATATTTATACAATGGCAACAACTGTTGAATGTTTCACCTCACCTTTTAATTACATGCAGACAATAATAGATTCATCTAAATATGTCAAACTGTCGAAGGAAATAGCAGTAATAATGATGAAGATGAACATTTGCACTTATGATTGTGTATGTATCAAATATCAGTATCTAGTCAAGGCTTTTCCTTATTCTCATATTCCATAACAAACTACCTTCTTGATCATCATCATTATTATAGATAAGCAACCGTGCACCACTCAAAACAAATTGATTCTACGGATGCTACTATTCAACTTGAACGTACGTCAATCAATATAAGACAGACAGACAGACAGGCGGACATAAAGAAGGAACGAGTAGCAAAAAAAGAAAAAAAGATCGATTAGACGCTTCAAACTGTGTTTGAAACAAGTACTATAAAATCAAGCTGTCTGACATGTTCACAACGAATAAGTTAATTCCCTTGTGGTGACACATACAGTCTGATGGTAGTGGCGTAAAGGATTAGACGACACATAACGCGACTTTAACAAGCAATTAGATTCGCTACAAAACATACATACACACATCGATTTTACATTGCGTATATGTAAATACATTCCTCTTGTGGCATAGCATGTCTGTGACGAGACACATATACACACATGCACACTCAAGCATCACGCGATCAGAGATGAAGAGAGATGATGGTCATCTCTTCACACATTCCACATGCAATATATATATATATATATATATATGAAGATATGAATTGTATCAAATAAAAAGATCAGAAAAGAAAACTAAAGAAGGGTCATCATCGTTTACTATCATTGATTTGTTTCGGAAACACTGACATCCGATTAGAGAAAAAGAGACATAGACAAGCAAAAGAAAATCAACTGACCACTATTATTATTAGATAGAAGATTGCATTATCAAACGAACATCGGCGACAACCCAATACAAACTCACATAGCGTAATTGTATTAGTTATTCTAATTCAACACTGTCTTTCTATACATTGTATGTGTGTCGATTTCGTCCGTGAACAATTTGATTTATTCATTATGTTGTCCGTCGATCGTCTCAAGCATGCGTACGTGCGGATGCGTGCGACGTCGATCATTTTATATCTAAAGCAAGCCATAAAGCTACTTCTAATGCACAATCATAACAAATTAGATATTTCTTTACATAGTTCTTAGCCTCAAAAAGGAAAAAGGAACGCATAAATAAATGGTATCGTACTTCTTTTATTGCTCAATGAATGCATAAAAAAGAAAAAAAAACGAGAGAGTGATGAAGATATGCATATCAATCTATCTTTTTCTGCTTCTCTTTTCTACTATAAACAACAATTACTTATATAAACAGTATATACTATACTGTTATCATCACCAACAGCGCGACGCTAGGCTGCTTACAGCATTTTCTATGTTAGATAGTAGTGAGAAGCGATGCGATTTTGTCTCGTTTACATGAAATTGTAATGGAGTTGAAATGACAACGACGGCAACAGCTTCCCTTCATTAGTCTCACTAAAAATGATGTAATCATTTTATCTATAATTTTTTTTGTTTTTTCTCTTTTATTTTATACTAGCAATGAAACAATGTATGACATTGAACTAACTACTCTCATCCTGTATAAATGTAGATACATATATGTCAGTCAGATCGGATTCATTATATAATGACTCTTTCAGTACATGTGCCTACATGCGTTCAACTAGTCATCGTCTCCGTATTTCAAGCACATTAATCTTTCGTATTATGTATATATTGAATGTTGACACTGAAAAAGATAGATATACTTGAACTAAACACCATCAACATAAGCAATCAATCTAGTATAAAATCTCGTCAAGGACAATGAATAGATAGAGCTGAAACAAAAGATTCAACTTACTTCTTCATTATGGATGGAATACGATAGCAGTGGCTGTCATTAGGGTGGAGCAACAGTAGTGTGCATACAGTGCTAGTATTAGTAGCAGCGGTCACAACGGAGATGTGACGCAAGATCCGAGACGCCACAGGCGAGCACCGAAGAAAAAAAACGAGAAATAGTTATCTCCCACAGTCATCAGATCAATCGTCGACAATGAATTGAGTAGAAAGAGAGCAAAAAGAAGAAGAGAGATCAGGCTAATCTAAGACGTGCTGACGACTTATTTTCTCATAATCAAACTAGTACATTTGTTACTAAAGACAAAAAAAATAATATCAGAGATCAGCTTTGAAGATGATCAGGTATCCGACTTAACAAGAAGATGTGAAAAAATTCATATATATAAATGACATTCGATTTTTTTCAATAAGAAATCAATGTTTTATCAGAACAAGAAATAATATCTTTTAAAGTAAAGAATTTCTTGATAAGAAATGAGAAAAAAAAAACTTGATTTTGCCATAAAAGCACGTTCTTACAATCATACACTATTATAAATATCTGTACTATTCGATCGATCGCCTTTATTGTCCAAAAGTCAGCTCATATATATATCAATGGTGATATGATAATGATTGCATTCATATTACATTGCGAGTTTGTTCAGTGAGATGACAAGGCAGACAGGCGCTTTTTTATGTTGAACGTATGCGTAATATGACACAATCGTAAGTCGAAATCTGTCTTATTCATTATTTCATGCTACTAGTTGAAATACTCAATGAATAAGTAAAAGTCATAGTAAAGACAATAAACACATATACACTCGATAATTTCCAAGTGTTGCACAATAAATAGATCGTCTTCACGGTTGATGAAACTGATTGAAAGACAGGAAACTTACTTGGTTAAATATATGAATGATTTTCATGACATAATTGAATATAAAAAAGAAAATAATTGATATAGGCTTGGACTGTTCTTAAACAAATTTACAAGAGAATGATAATAGGGGTGTGATGATGGTCAATTTTTCTATCGTATTTCTGTATAAGTATATGTATGTATGCGTACTCTCGGTGTGAAGTTGTTACAACAAAGCGACGAATAGAACGAGCCAAATCATTAAAACAGGAGGTACTCTATTTTATGAGTACTCCATTGTTGAAACAAAATGCGTCGTTCAATTGTAATGGGTATATATATAGGAAAAAAAAGAGGAGGAGAAGAACAAGAAGAAAAAACGATTGACGTTCTTTTTAAAGTAACTTCAATATAAATCGAGGAGATGAAAAAAAGAAGAAGGGCGGCAACAGCGGTCAATCAATCGATGTTCTTTCATCGATTGACGAGACAAGACACGAATCTATGATTATCCACGTAGGACTTAAAAATTAGTTCAAAAACAACCATTACTTCTACAAAAATGTAATCGTTTAACTCGTTTGTTCACACTAGTGTGTAGTGCCAATGATAATGATAATGATAAGAGAAAAAGACATTAATGTAAATAGTAGAACGAAAGTGGAATAATTAGGTCAAATGGTTGTCGCCGCAGGAGACCATATTCTTTATATGTCCATCTGTGAACGTATTTCTATTTGTTTAGAAATATAGATCGAATTCCTTTACTTTACTTTAAGTATATGAGTGAACATTAGAATAAGAAGGACAAATGTGTGACGTAAAGAACAAGTAAGAATCGAAACACGGAAATCACACTGTCACTTGAAGACACGGAAACGGTACTTCTTATGTCTTTGACCGGATTAAACAAGACAACAAAAGAAAAGAAAAGAATAAGAAATGGATGAAAAGACTTCCCATTACTCAATGTAAGGTCCATTGAACACGACATTTTGTCCCGAAATGATGGCGTTCTTACCATTATCATTATTGAAAATTTTAGTATGATGTATTCAATACATGGCGTTCTCTGTATTACAATATGTATGATGCAAACTACTGCAACTACTACTGATAGCCTCCAGCGTTGACAACAATGAGATGAATATAATACATATATGTGCTATATGACCATCAAGAATAGAGGAGAGAGAGAGAGTTGAAGGAAAAAGTAAAACATTGAAATTCACTCTATAGACGAAATATTACTAAAACGATCGTTTATTTACCTTGCAATGTTTAAGAGTTTCGACCGCAACCACTCATTCTAATTGATAACACATCTCATTTGGAAGCCAAACGATCTATAAGGTTGATGGTCTGAATTTCAGGACAGAAGAAATAAAGCAAAAAGAGAGAGAGAAAAAGACAAAGAATTGGTATAACCAACAATTATATCATCGCATGATATACATATTAGTGCCAACTAACAAACCGGCGCCGATTGTCTTTTTGTCACGCAAGCATTCGACAAACTACGCTTAAGATCAAAGTGTTGAAGAAGTAGTCAATTAGAACATGAAAAAAAAAGTTTTTTTTCTTTGAAACGTGTATTCGGTCACCAGATGTTTCTCTACAGTTGATCAGCTGAGTTACAGAGAAAAAGAAAAATGTTGAGAAAATTGTTATTTGTTTTTGATTGAACCATCCATCATTTCGATGACATGATCATATATCGTTTCGTGTTTGTACAAAGTTCATTGCCATGTCAGACAGACGATTAAACGACCTTTTCATTTGCTACTGTTGATATATCTGTTTTCAATTTGATTCCAACTATCCACTTGAGAAACATAACGATAAGTTAAAAGAAACAAAACAAAAGAAAAAGAGAAGAAAATAAAAAGAAATGCTTATATGTGTTCGATCATGATGAACGTACTTTTCTTTTTGGTATGTGATGTTGACTAGAACTAACTAATGAGTTTATACGATATAATTAACTGCTTGTTGAACCATGATTTACCATGGCCTTGAACTGCCGGTAAGATCATCTTTTATTCTCTTGAGAATGTGTATTGCAAAAGGCAATTAGTTTGGTGATGGTAATATGTGAGACTGTGACTGTTGTGTTTTCCGGCTAAAAGAACTTGGAGTGTTTCCCCTCCGTCTAATTATGCATATGCACAGATGGTTAGAATATCGAAATTCATTCAAAGTGATTTGGTGTGTGTGCTGATTTCCTCGTCTACTAACTTATTCACTAAATTGTATCATTCACATTCTGCCTCCCAGCGGTAATCAATGTGCACACGCACGCATACATATATCTATCAATTGAGAAGATTTAAATATTCTTTCATATTTACGAACTGATGAATGTGACTTCATCATAAATAAATGTTAAAGAAAAGTCGAACAAGACTCTCTAGAATTTGTATAAGCATTACTTTTAGTCACATTCAAGGTCAATACATCTTCATTATGATATATTTTGATATGATTTTCTAGTTATTGTTATGTTAGCGGCATTTTTATTATTAATCGCTGTTCCATCTGTCGAAAGATAACAGTTGACATGCAAACATAGTATATTGCAATTGACATGTTAGTTGATAATGGCAAAGTTCGATTTTATTTTGAAGAATACGTAGAATGCTCTGGAGTTCAAAAATATAATTGAATGATCCTCGATGCTCATTGATGTTACACGACAGAAAATTTCATTGTTTAAAAAGAAAATGAAAATTATGTCTGAAAAAAATAGAATAATGATCTATGAACATATAAAAAACAATGTGATCTTTACTGTTGATCAATTATTTATGATAATTTAACAGATAACAAATGCTTGAACATCATAATTAAATGTTCATTGAATTTAAACTATGATCAGAATTGTAATCGTAAGAGTTTTTTTCTGTAGACTTTATTTCCTCAAACATACCTATCTTATGTGTCGTTTAGTAAGTTATTTGCTGACAACATATATGATAACAACCTCAGTCAGATGACTATCTTTATGATAAGCATAAAAAATTCATATCTTTGCTTAATGAGTAACTGAGAAGAAATGAAAACGTTTTTTTTTCTTTTTTACAAAATTTTCATCATTATTTTTCTTAAATTTTATAATTATTCAATCATGATAACAAGAAAAATATAACAAAAACAATTTGGATAATTCATTCATTCAAGAACAAAAAAAACACAATCGATACAAAAAACCCGAAAAGAATAGTTCTATTTAGCTTAGAATATTTAATGAATTTTTAAATACTCATGAATAATACAAAAAAAGAAAGGGTTAGCTTTGGTATGCTTAATAATGAAATAGTAAAAATATTAAGAAAGGAAAAACAAATTAATAACGTATTTACGAAATTATAAAAATGTTCATATGTGTGCATTTATTTCCAGTAATCGATATTATGTGCATATGTATATATATTAGAAAATGAATTAAATATGAACCGGCTTTGACTAATGAATGAGACGTGTCATAGTCTACAACCGTTCATTTTCAATATCCTCTTGTTCTGACACACGTCCAGCTTTAATATCATCAACTGCAGCCCATATGTCAAAAATAAATTCGTCTGTAAAATTAAATGTACCAATATCGGATTCATCAATAGCGACAGCAAAATCACTTGGATTCTTTTTATTTTGTGCTAAATCCCAAATTTGTTGTGCTTAAAACATAAATAAATATTAAAAATATGTTTTAATACATTCTCAAATCTCAGACAAAGCTGAAACATAATTTGAGAGTATATAATTTTAAACTTACCAAGATCAGAATCATTTATACCCATATAAGTTTCTAGAAGACCATTAATACGATCTATGACTTTAACCATTGTATCATCAACTTCTTCAATAGTTGCTCTACCATCAGCTTTAAAACGGAGAGTTTTTGTACCACTTTTAACATCACCTTTCTTCTGACCACGTGTACGTGGTTCAATTTCTAGAAAAGAAAATACAATCATTTTAGATTAAGCAAAGAAAAAATTTTATGAACAGACGAAATCCAAAAGCATTTGCTTCAACTAGACGTAATGTAAGTGTTGAACCAATAGGAATGTCTTTCAGTGCTTTAGCTACTTCAAAATGACGTGTACCAACAAATGATTTATCATTTATTTTTTCAATATGATCACCAATTTTAACAAGATTTTTAAGTCGATCAATAACACTTCCTTCTTTAATTCGTTTTATAAAAGAATAACCTAATTAATAATAATCAATTATGAATATTAATTATTTTATTCATAAAACAAACTTAAACAAACCTGCTCCATTATCAGTAATAGTCAATCCAAGAGCTGCTTCTGATTTGACAACCTCTATTTCTTTGGTTTGTCCTTTGACATGTGCAAATATAAAATCATCTAAACCCATTTGTCCCCCTAATAATTTAGTCATGTCAATTTTATGTGTATTCAATGTACAAAATAGAATCTTTAAAAAAAAAACAATAAATATTCTTTTTTATCTTATTTTAATAGCAAACTAGTCTTACTGTTGATGCTGGTATTTCAAAACAATCAGCTATTTTTTGATATAATTCTTTAACATTACTAAAACCTGATATAAGACCAGTTGGACTACCGTGAGCTAATTGACAATGAAATACAAGTTTTGTTGCATTATGATGTTTATCATTATTAGAAGACTTAGGAGTGGTTGGAAGATGGCCATTTGAAGAAAATGGTTTAGAAGATTCTTTTTGGGGAGTTGTTCGTGTTGATGCACTTGTATTTGCATCTGTTGCTGTTTGTGATGAAGTTGATGATGGAATACTACCACTTATCACAGATTTTTTGTTTGATTTTCGTTTAGAAAAAAATGGCATGACAAACGAATAAATTATATTCTATTATCAGTGTTGTAATAACAAATGACGATATAACAAGATTTATATACTTATATATATATATATATACATAAAGTTTACCTTAAGTCAACAATAGTGTCGTCTTTCTTAAACTTTTGTTACAGTCGGATAAAGAAATAAATAAGATTTTAAGGTAAATATATATTTGATTGGTTGAGTTTTTTAAACAATAAAAAAAGCGAATTGTTTTCACATCCATTTCGTAAGAGTACGTTCTCCTTGGTGACACTTACACTTATGGTATTATATTAAATATAAACAAGAAATCCTTCATCATCTACTATTTGTGTTTTTGTATAGGAAGCCCGCATGACTTTTGTTATTATAGAAGAAAAGAATATAAAATGCTGCGACACATTGTTGCATGATGTTATATCGAATGCAGTTTTAAAAATTTTCTTTTTGCTACCATTATGGTAAGAAACAAAACCAGCTGTTCTATTTTCATTATTTTTTTTTTCATATATAGCCATCGAAAAAGAGTAAAACAGCTAAAGCAGAACGTTCATCAAGTGGATCACCAAAACGTAAATCTAATGGTAAAAGTGCTGAAGACCGTCCAGATATTGATGTATTATCACCAGCTGCTGTAATCAATGCATATTATATATGTCATAATGTTGCTGACTGTTTAGATGCACGAGGTTTTGCATGGGAAGGTGCTAAAAAAGGCAAAAAGAAGAAAAAGAAAAAATCATAAATATTCGTTTTCTTTTCTTCAATTACACATTTCAATGTTGTGAACATACTTTTCATATTTTCATTCAATACAACCTTATGAAAAAAAAATAGTCAAATATATCTTCTTTCTTTCTCTTTGTATTTAAAGTGAATAAATAAAATAATATTCATCACACTACACAGTTTTATTTTAGATTTTAAAAGTTTTAGATTTTGTCATTCATAAAAAAAACCGAATACAACCATTGTTACACTCAAGAAAGCAAAAAACAAATTTGATCACGAGAAAAAAAATGCATACTCTATGTATGGATATACAAGAAAAGAAAAAAAATGAGACAAACAACTTCACTGTTTACAAAATAAAAAGTAATGTCGAAAATTCGTTTCCTTTTGTCGTATTTGAAATGTATAGAGCTCGAGACATACACATAGATGCATTCATCAATAGAAATAAAATATCGTATAAGACAATAAAAAAATAGATCAAAATAGCGATCTCTATTATATAAGAGGACTAATATTTTTTGCCATGGAATCTGTCTTGTGAGAGGATGGTACAAAAAGATAATTGTAAACTGCATAATAATGAATTGCAGCACCAAACAACACAAAACAATGCCAGATAGCATGTGCAAATGGTATGATACCATCGGATTTAAAGAAGAATACACCCGAAAGAAAGGCAAACCCACCAACACCCATTTCAAATAAACCATCCTGTTCAGTCTCAAATAAAATAAATAGAAAATACGATGATCTTTTGCTTTTTTTTTTGTCTTCTTGATTCATTTTTATAAACTTACCATATCTATAATGACAATTGCTGGTAGAAGACCAACAATAATATAGCAACATGTTTCAAGTAATTTATATCTTTCATGAAATAAAATTTGAAAAGTTATACCTAAGAAAGCCATTATCCAAACGACGGCTATTGTAGTTGTTGTTGAAATAGATTGTGTCGGACGCAGAAGAAGCCTTTAAGAAATAAAAAATAAAAAAGTAAAAGAAATACTATACAGGATGTCCCAAGAGTTCGTCTGAAAAGTTAACATGATTATTTCTTATACAATGCAAGCGATTGTATTCATTTTTGCACAATATATTTGTATGCTCTTTAAAGTATTATTCTATATATATTCAGATAAATATTTGTGCTTATAAACATTAGAATAGAAATTTTTGTGTTAATATTCAAATTGGAGTCACTTATGATTGTGAAACGAAGATCATAAGCCAAGTTTGACAAAAATACATGAAATGAAGATTGCATTAAACTTATATTTGGATACTTTTGTGAAACTAGTACAGTAGAAGATCGAGAACGGTCTGGAAGGTCGTCAAAAGTTACAGAAGAAAGATTCGACAAAGGTCATGATGTTTCTGAAAATTGATCATAATCAAGTACTCGAACTGTTACAGCTGCCTGCTCCACTTCACGAATGGCAGCATATCGAATTATTACGAAATACTCTGTCTTGAAACCGTAAAAGATGAAATTTATTTGTTGAATAACTACTGTGACAGCTCGAGTACTTGATTATGATCAATTTTCAGAAACATCATGACCTTTGTCGAATCTTTCTTCTGTAACTTTTGACGGTCTTTCAGACCATTCTCAATCTTTTACTGTACTAGTTTCACAAAAGTATCCAAATATAAGTTTAATGCAATCTTCATTTCATGTATTTTTGTCAAACTTGGCTTATGATCTTCGTTTCACAATCATAAGTGACTCCAATTTGAATATTAACAAAAAAATTTCTATTCTAATGTTTATAAGCACAAATATTTATCTGAATATATATAGAATAATACTTTAAAGAGCATACAAATATATTGTGCAAAAATGAATACCATCGCTTGTATTGTATAAGGAATAATCGTATCAACTTTCTAGACGAACTCCTGGGACACTAGAAAACTTCATTTGATTTTTACCATGGTGTATAACTAGAACTAATAAATATATAAATAACAGCTCGATCAATACGATGTAATAGATGTCTTAGTTTTGAATCTCTATAAGTAAATGAAAGGCGTTTCATTTATTTATGAAATCGTTAATATTTAATTCATACCTATATGTCGGATGGAAACATGAACAATGAAAGATAGTAGAAAAAGAAAAAAGTAAAATGAGAGCATTGCCATAAATAATACTACTCCAATATTCTTCTGGTGTTTCTGCCCGAGATATAAGTCGTTGAGCAGCAATAAAAGATGGTACAATGAGACAACCATGTGTTAAACAGTTTGCAACATGTTCTATGGAAAAAAAAGTTTATATAAATATTTTTATCATTCAAAAAAGTTATGTACCATGTGGTGTAGGTATATAGGCGCGGTTAATCGCTCGTTCATTCATAAAACGACGCCAACATTTGTGTTTCTTTTGTTCGTTTGCTCCTGATGGCTTTTGTAAAAATCCATTGGAGATATTTGTACCAACAACACGTTTTTGAATGTGCATATTTTGAAAAAAAACAAACTAGAGTAACGAACAGAAAAAATAAAACCAAAGCTGAGAAAAAAATCAATTTTAAATTTTACATTCTATTTCTAACAAAAAGGATCTCTGTTTAAATCGTTTATTACACAAAGCATCATTGAGGTCCGGTCAAAACAAACCGAAACGAAAAACTTAAATAATAGACAAGTATTTTGAGAACAAAGATTATTCAGACATTGAAAAATAAATTTTGCAGATATAATGAATATCTCCAATCATGAAAAGCACATGCATTGTGTCAATCAATCAGATTAAGTAGAAGAGTTTGTCGAATGCATACTTGATAGTAGGAAGATGTCGCACTATACTGAAATAATTTTTCTACCAATCCTGATGAGTTTCCCTGGATGCTACGAAGTGGCGAACAAATGAAGTGATGACAGGAGGAAAGCAACAGAGGAAAGCCAGAGAAATGTTTTAAGAACTCGAAAGAAGTATATACAATTTTTTCAAGGTGGAAAGTGAAGAGTTCTCTTTTTTCAATCAACAATCATTGTTATTTTAATAAAAAAAGAATGTTTTTTGCTGAGAAAAAATGAACATTTTTTAAACCGAGAATTACTGCTTTCACATCATCAAACCATTGCTTGATGATATTAGAATTTTTAAACAAATTAAGTATCAAATTAAGACAAATATAGAAAGAGAACGTTTAATCAAGTAAATGTACAATCGATTTTACATGAAGACTAAGTAGATAGACATACAAATATACTTCAGAATATGTTTTGAGTAACGGGTTGAATAAATAATCAGTAAATTATTCTGTTTTTTACAGTAGTTGTCAATCAATCGACTAGTGTTATATTGATTATGTCGACTAAGAAAAACCATCGTCAATTGAGCAAAAAGTAAATTGTACAAGATTAAACAATTAACAATTTTCTCTTTGATTTAAATATCATAATGATAATGTATTCGAAAATAAACTAAAACTAAAATTAAATCAAATAATCTATAAATTACAAAAGAATTCATTTCGTTGTCAAATGAGATGAAAAATAACATGTATGCTCTTCATCATAAAAACCGTCGAAGGAATATATTATTAGTATGTTAAATATATAGCAATGTGAATACAGTTGAACTTAACGTTCATTAAATTGTTATAAGATTGAAAAAATAATTGTTCTTCAAACTTGTAGTTAGTAAAAAACCGACAATAAAAATGAGAGTGGACTTTTGATTAAGGATTGAAAAAAATGATGCTTATGCCATCAAAAGTTTTTTTGATCCGAGTTTCTAATGAGTACATTGGGTAAACTAGATTAATTGTTGGCGTTTATTTTTGACTTATATTTAATTGAGCAATAAAATAATCTAAATGAGAAATAAAATGATTTAAGTGAGCAATATTGAAATTGAGCAATAATATATTGAATTAGCAATAATAATACTGAATGAGCAATAATAATTCTAAATGAGCAATAATAAATCTGAATGACAATTATTTTGAATGAGCAATAGTTTATTTAATTTAAACGTAAATTCTATATAAAAAAATAACATGGATTCATTAACGTTATAGTTTCCTTTCCTCCTATCATGTCGTATAGATTACATATATACAACATAGACATATACTTCTTTTTTTTTCTTTTCTTTCTTTCTAGGTATTTTCCCCTCTCGTTTTAGTTTTTTTCCATGTTCTCTTTGATTTTTCCTATCATGTTCACATATATTGTACGTGTTTCGAAAATAAATTGAATTTTCCTTAACAATTTACTAATACAAATGGCTCAATCACAACGTGTGGCGCAATATAGTTCTGATAGTGAAAGTGACAATGATACGGAACTGGAGTTTTCTAATAATAAAGAAAAAGTTAAAAGAAAACACAAGAGAAGAAAATGGGTTTCAGTATGTATGTACAACAGCAAGGATGATGCTATTAATAAAATAAAGATTGATGGTATATGGGGCAAAACTCATACAAATATAACCAGTGAAGGTAAAAAAAGTTTATTACAGATGCAATCAGGTATGGTATGGGTGTGGGTGTGGTTGTAGGTGATGAAAAGATAAACACTCACACCCACACTCAAACCATCTAAAGCCAAAAAAACTTCGGTCACACAATAATTTTTTGTTATTAAAATATAAATTTTTTCTTGCTCATCTATAAATTTCTTCTTACTCAAATATAAATTTCTAGCTGCAATTTAATGAATTAATTATTGTCCATTTCATAATATAAAATTACTCAAAAACCATTTTTTTTTATTGCTCAACAATTGTTGCTAATTCGTATTTTCATTATTGCTCACTTCAATTTTGTAATTGCTCAAATAAATACTAGCCTTTATTTTTTCTAGATCAAATAAATCATATATTTATATTTAATATCAATTCAATCTGGTTCAAAAAAACGTATGCATTATACATTAGTAGACATATGTAATTATTAGAAGTCGATTTTTCTATTGCCTATTTTTAAAATTGAGTAGTTAGTTAGATCTTATCTAAATCATATATTCTTGTCTTCATCATTCAAATATTGTTTTATTCGATGTGCTCGATATGTAATAAGCATTATTTTATTTTATTCTTTAAAAACACAATTCAATAAAATGCTGGGAAAACATTGCATATATTGTCTGGCAAATAATTGTTTAATAAGAGGGAAAATTAACAAAATAGATTTATAAAGAAGATCTACTTTCAAAGTTCTTAACAAGACGAATTTTATATTGAACTTCTTGTAACAAGTATACAAATACAATTTAAAAAAATAGATTTCTTCTCGTGTTGAAATACAATCGTCGCTGTCACATAGTTACCCTAACACTTATTCATTTTATCTATATTCTTGAAAATTTATTGTATCCTTTTTTTCAATTTTTCGCCCTATACTCATTACTGGCCTGGCCGCAATGCTTTGGAGATGTAATATCGTTCCTATCGTGAAGAATATTTGCTTTTTTTTCCAGCAGAACTGAAATTTTTTTCGTGAATTCTGTTAGAAGGAAGATATATATATCTTTGAAAAAAGATCGTGACCTCCTTCTTCCCAATGATGGCTGCAACCCGTCACCATCACTGCCGTATCTATTAAAAATCTAAAAAAAATCATTTATATTTTCGATGCAGCTTTCAATAATGAAAATAAAAATCACCCATTTGATCTATTATTATATTTAATTAGAATAACAGGTACGATGAAACCTTTGCATCAATTTTCTTTTCTTACATCTCCATGTAGATACATTGTATAGGGTGCGTTTCTTTTTTTTAAAAATAGTACACGATTCTTCTACAAAAATATGTTTGAAATGTATACAATTTTAGCATAGTAAATTGCTTTTATATGTAAAAATTTTCTAAGAACTGGAAAACTTCTTTGCATCTCCCTCTCTATAAATATGTTATAATATTTCTTTTCGATAACAAGATAGAACTTTATATCCATATAATATGGGTGAATAGCCCATTTGAAACTCTACAGATCACATTTTAAAATGTAAAGTTAACTTCATTAATTAAAGATCAATAAAATATTTTTCGATGTTAAAATTTGTAAAAATCTCCAATTTTACGGTCAGAGTCTGGAACAATTATTATAATTTGACTGATGTATGCTTCAACAAAATTTTTTTCATATTGTTTTCCAGTGGCGGATCCAGGAATTTCTGAAGGGGGTGACAGATAAGCGAAAAGTGGAGTCCAACAAACGAAACAGGAGCAAATGAGCGGAAGGGGGAGGCGGATGGGTTAAAAATGTAAAATATCCCCCGGAAAATTATTAGAAAAAAACCTTGAAGTTATATCAAAAGAGGAGGTGGTCGCCACCCCTGCCCCCCCCCCCCCCCCCCCCCCCCCCTTTTAGATCCGCCACTGTTGTTTTCTTTAGAGTTGCTCGAGCTTTTTCGTACATATCAAATAATTTTAAAGTTCTCTATACCTCTGAAGATTCAGAGTCTAAGTCAACTTGACAATTACTTTTTGGAAATTAAATACCGTTATAACTATATGTTGAAATACTTCGTAAATATCGATGAATATTCTAGTTTTCTACAACTATTCATCGTTCAAAAAGCAAATCATCGAATAAAGACATCAGCATTTTCTTTTATTATTAGAGTATTACGCTTCAATTGAATGCCGACTTGAGCACTCATCTACTGTAATATTTCTTTACCTAATACGAATCAAATGATAATTAAAATTTATTTTTTTTCATGTTAAAACAATAGTATTTATTTCGATGTTTTTTTGTCACAAGTACTACAATTGTGAAGAAATAAACTTCAAAAGTCAATTGAAATCTTACTCCAAGCGTTGAATTTTTTTGTTAATTCGTTCTCAAAAAAAAATATTTCGATCAGTTTGATGCAGAATGAATTCATAGATTTGAGTTCATTTTTTTAATGAAATTTCCACTACTTACGCAATAAATGCATGGACACGTCACATTGTCATTTATACTGTTTACGTCTTCAACAATTATGAGATAGAGAATTTTTCATCTCACACTAAAATATAATTCTTGTTTTCTCTTCTTTTGCTTTTGTTAGATAATTATTCGATATTAATTTATAATATATGAAGACAGATAAAAATAGCAATACCAACGTAATAAATTATTACTAGTCTTGTGTCAGCACATGACGTGTTTTTACTGGTAAACAATGAATTACAACTGTGACTCTTGTACAAAAACAAATCATTGTTTCGATGCTAATGATAATAGCAGCAATCAATTTATCAAAATACTCATCGATTGCATGTGCATATTTTCAGTGTCTATGGAACTCCTAAAGCCTTTCTAGTATTTTGATAATATTAATGACAATACTTTTAATTGTTTGATTGAAAACATTATCGTTCAATATGAATAATTCATAATAAATATATGCATTAGATTTAATGGGTATCGTAGACAGAGACAAATTAGAATTTCCCATTATTCAACTATTCACTAATAATATTTATATATTCGATAGTCATTGAAAAATAAGTTT